TTGATCAATGTAATAGAATATAATGCTCAAAAATGAATACATACATTTATAGTGAAATAATTTTATAATGTCACCAAATAAATTATATATGGATATTTTTAATAAAATATTTCTAAGCAAGTGCATATTCCATGGAAGTCAAACTCCTGCCTCACACTGAAAATGTAAGTGACTCAAAGTGATCATATATCTATATATAATAGCTAAACAGGCCCAGAATGTAGAAAATAACACAGGAATACATCTTTGTGGTCTTAGGTTAAACAATCTTTTCTAAGATATGATGCCGAAAGCAAAAGGGAAGAAGAAAAATCAGGCATATTAAACCTCATTACAATGTGAAACTTTTGTGATTCACACTGCACCAACAAAAATAAAGACACCCAAAGAATGGGAGCAAATATTTGCAAACAAAAGCAAAAATTGGCAAATGAAACCTATTTAGGTTTCTGCACAGCAAAGAAAACTATCTACAGAATGAACAGACAACCTACAGAATGGGAGAAAAGTTTTGCAACCTATGCATATGACCAAAGTCTAATATGCAGCATCTATAAGGAACTTAAGCAAATGTTCAAGAAAAAAAAACCAACTCCATAAAAAAAGAGGGCAAAGGACACGAACAGACACTTTCACCAGAAGATATATATGTGGCTAACAATCATATGAAGAAAAGCTCAACCTCACCAATCCTGAAAGAAATGATATTAAAAATCACAATGTGATACCATCTAACACCAGTCAGAATGGATATTATTAAAGAGTCAAGAAATAGATACTGGCAAGGTTGTGGAACAAAGGAATTACTTACACACCGTTGGTGGACGTCTAAATTAGTTCAACCATTGTGGAAGGCAGTGTGGAGACTACACGAAGACCTAAAAACAGAAATATCATTTAACCCAGCAATCCCATTACTGAGCATATACCCAAAGAAATAAAAAGTGTCCTATGAGAAGACACATGCATGCATAGGTTCACTGCAGCACTATTCACAATAGCAAGAATGTGGAATCAACCTAAATGCACATCAATGGTGGACTGCATAAAGAAAATGTGGAACATACACACCACGGAATACTACGTAGGCATAAAAAATATCATGTCCTTTACACGAAAATGGATGGAGCTGGAGGCTGTTATCCTTAGCAAACTAATGCAGGAACAGAAAACCAAATACCAAGTTTTTTCCCTTATAAGTGGGAGGTAAATGACAAGAACACATAAACACACAGTGGGGAACAACACACACTGAGGTTTATCAGAGGGTGGGAGGCGACCGAGGATCAGAAAAGATAACTAATGGGTACCAGGCTTTAGTACATTGGTGATGAAATAATCTACAACAAACCACCATGACACAAGTTTACCTATGTAACAAATGTGCACATGTACCCTGAAACTGAAAAGTTAAATTAAAAAGCAAGTATTTGCAAGTTTTATAGGCGATAATGGTCTATTGTTAATAATATACGGCAACTTCTTAAGAGCTCAAAAATGAAAAGGCATATATCTCAATCAAAAATGGAAATTATTCAAATACCCAATTCTCCAAAAAAGCTACAGTCATATCCGAATCACACGAAGAGACACTCAATGCCTTCTGCCATTATGAGGCAGGAGACTGGCAAGTTGTTTTCTAGTCATAATCCTGCTGATCAAAATAAGATCTGGTCCAGACAGCATCTAGTGAAGAAACCGGCAAAAGAAGACAAAGGGATCCCTGGTTGTCCTCACTGCTCACCGGCATGAGACATTCCCTCCAGCGCATGACTGTTTACAAATTCCATGCCAACAACCAGGAATTTACCACCTCTTTCCATGGCAACAACCCAGAAGTTACTGCTCCTGTCCTGGAAAGTTCTGAATCACCTGCCCATTAAGTTTCATTGGTCCACCCCTCAACTTCCATGTAATTGAAAGTAGTTTCACCTTAGTGTAAAGATAGTTGATAAGAGATAGTTGATAAGAGCCCATAGGTTACCAACTGATGCAACGCCTATGAGTTAGCCCTGCTCTTAAAGGAGCAGTACTGTTCAATAAAAGACTGCCATCTATCACCACTGGCTTGCCCTTAAATACTTTCCTGGGCAAAGCCAAGAACCCTGCCAGTTGAAGCCTCAAATTTGGGGCTCACCTGTCCTGCAACAATAGGGGATGCGAAGTCTAAAAAAACATGATATATACTCCAAAAATCTAAAAGGTATATTGCTATGTGAAAAAATACCAGTTGGAAAAGGAAAAATACTGTGTAATTCTACCTATATGACTCTCTAGAAAAGGAAAAAAGTATAGCAAAGAGTCTGGTGGTAACAGGGGGCTTGGCAGAGAGAAAGGTGGAATCAGTGAAATACAGGTGGTTTCTTTGGGGCAGTGAAATTACTCTCTCTGATACTGTTTGGTGGATACATAATAATGTTTTCTGAATTCTGAAGAACTTTATAACACAAAGAGTGTACTAAATTATGCAAACATAAAACCTTATTTAGTAGGTAGAGGGTTTCCAAGGAGCAATGTCCCCAAAAATAATATAACTATGTAATGAATGTATGGAACAACCTCACTAAAGAAAGTGGAGGAAAGCAATGGACCTAAGTAACTTGGGTAATAATTGGACATGCCGAGGCTAAAAGCCAAAGTATTTATACCTAAGTGCTGTACTTTACTTGGTAAAATTGTTTCCCATTGGGGTATAAGTTACCTGTTCTGAAACCACTGTGCATGTATGTTCAGGCAGTATGATTAAGAGA